TGGAGATGATTCCACTTCATCTTCCTCTTGACAGCTGATAAAAAAGGGCCCGGTTTCCTTTAGCTTAATAACAGTTCGCGCTCCGACAATTCTGTCTACAATATCCGCAGGCGCCGTGATCAACATATCAATGTTAAGCGCCAGTGTAGGTGTGGATCCTAATGCTCCGCTAATTCCTATTTTACAAGTGTAGCCTTCTCGAGTCAGTTCCACCAGACAAGGGCTCCTTGAAAAAATATAGGCTTAAATCTGGTTTCCTAGAGCTAATGAATTAATTTGGGCGAGAGACCTCACCTTTTACCGATTGCACCCTACAGCAGTACAAGGCAACCAAAACCTTTCTTACCCTTTCCTGAATATTAGGCTACCACGACAGCCGCCGTTGATCGCCGTTTTCAGCAACAATGAAGAGAGACTGATTGGCCTAAAATACCTAGTGGAAACATGTGCGCCTTTTCCGGTCTTCGGGATGAACGCAACACTGACTACCCTCCAAGCCTTGGGGATGTACCCGGTCCTCACGCAGTTCGCATAAATAGGATCCAACCAATTGCACGACACCTTCAGAGGCCTTTGCAGCTGCGCAGGTATGATGCCATCGGCGACTTTAATGGTTTGAACGAATTTATCGCCTAGGCCACGTGACGATCGTCCAGAAGATCGGAGAAGCGCAGGACCTGGGGGAAGCTTCTGAAAGCGGTTAGCGACAGTTTTCGAATCGCTATCGCACTTTTTGACGCAAAAATATTTATATCATGCGTCAAAAAGTGCGATAGCGATCCGAAAATTGTCGCTAACTGTTTACGAAATCTCTCTCCTGATGCACAAAATATTGCAAAGAAGTACATTTGACTGTACTTCGAAGTACGAAGTACAAGAGCGAAAAAAGAAGTACTGTACTTCCGAAAGAAGTACGGTTGGTCACATTAAGTAAGCTAGAAGTAATGATACCATAGTGCTAAAAAAAAAAGTCTCGAAATACACCCGAAACAAAATTTAGTGCAGGTTGTAGGTAGGGTCGAATATAACATGAAATTGCTTTATTTTATGGTGATTTCGTTTCTACCAAAATATGTCGCCTTTCGATTGCCCCTTTCTCTTTTCGTGTTCGATTCTAAATTAAAGTCAACACTAAAGTCAACAAAGAAAGTCTAAGTTCGGGTGGAGCCGAACATTAAATACCTGGCGCAAGTATTAAATATATGTTTTTTCACCTTTCCGAAAGCTACCGCTAGATGGTAAGCCGGGTGTATCAATTTTGAGTAAATTCGCGGCCTTAAATTTCGAAATATTGCAGTTTCAAGCATTTCTGAAATTTACCGTTATATGAAAAGCGGCCGTAATTTTAGTCCGATTTCAATAATTTTCAACGTTTTGCTTTTATGTAGCAAGCACAATAAAAATACCGAGCTTGGTACAAATTGGTAGAACGGTATATATATATGTTATCATAAGTGGGCGGTTCCACGCCCATTTTCCAAAATTTTACCATAAACGTATTTCTTGGTAAAGAATTGTTGCAAGCATCAATTTTGAATAAATTCGCTTTAATATTTACTGATTTATCGAAGATTTTGTATTTCTCTAAATTACCGTTATATGGGATGTGGGCGTGGCTATTGTCCGATTTTTTAAATTTTCGGCCATTTAGTATGCTGTATCAAGGCCAAACTGTGCCAAGTTTGGAAGAAATTTGTGCAGCGGTTACCAAGATATACACATGTAACCATAAG